CCAGCGGGATGTGTACAAGTGCTATTTTCAGTTCACCATGCATTCGAATTATTGCACATTATTTTGTAATACACTAAAAAAAAAGAATTGGTGGAGGATTTACTTAGAAACAATTTTTAAAAATTGCTAGGATTTTTCACAGATAATCAAAAAGAAACGGCAAGTAACCCATTGAATTAAACGTGAAATGTTGTAGTAGTCTGAAATAGTATTTTCTTGTAAAGCATACTCCAGTAATCTTTGTTTTATTTACAACCTTTTATATTTTTATACAGTGTATGATCCCTAAATACTACACATTTTGTCAAATCAATGATAGTTCCACAAAATTAGGGGCCATCGTAAAAGAATAATTCATTCAAAAATGGAAATTCTGTCATCATTCATGACTGTCACATCATATATATATGACTTAATTTCTTCGTTTAGCAGAATGTTTATGCTGTTCTTTTTCATACAATGAACGTGAATGGTGACCAGGGGCTGTCAAGCTTCTTAAATGTTAGTCTGTTTCACACACAAAGTTATCGGATGACTTTAGAAGACTTGAAATATAGTAGTTCACAATGGGCTATATGCACGCATAACTTCCGCGTTTGATGCAAGGATGCTCTTGCTTTTCCGGTTGGGGAGATTTAAAGCGGAGGAAAACCGAGGAAAACGGGATTATGGCAGAGTCTTCAAAATGTACTGTCCTCTCGTCTTTGAAACGAAACTTTAATACGTTTAGATGTAATTTTATATATAGTTATGTTTATTTAATATAATAAACAAAGAAGCATAAACAAAATGAGGGGTGTCTGTTTTGTCTGTTTTTGTGACTAACGTTTCTTTAGTATAGCAATAGAGTATAAAACCAATTTAAATTCTCGGTATAGCATTGGACTCTACGATCGGCGGAAGTAATCCAGCATCCTAAGACCTTCACCGGAAATACCGCCGTGCATAGAGCCCATTATTATGGACTAACTTTTATGATACTTTTACAGTGTTGTTTGCCATTCTTGGAGCTTAACAACCTCTGATTATCGTTCACTTTCATTGCACACACAAAAAAATCTTTTTGTGATCTATGAAAGAAATTATTTACTTAAAGCTGAAATAACTGAAAGCAAGAGGTTTGGTTAAACGTAAAACAAAATATTGGCCCCAGGGCTGTAGAGAAATGAACAGAAAAGTTCTAGCAAAGCAGAGGACAAAATCTGTACCTGACAAGCTCTCATTCTAACTGAGATCAAATTGATGGCTGACAGCCGACAGCAACGATTAAAGTCACCTCTGCTCCATTAGCTGCCTGGAACAGTCACCCAACCGGCCCGTGGGGAACAGTCAGCATTCATTCTGTAATCAAAGGTAAAAAGTATGGTTTTCAGAAAGTGTCTCAGATTGATGCATCCGGCTCCCTGGTTTCCTGCTGGGATAATCGATGATAAATCACATTTAATTTCCCTGCATATGTGTGTCCAAGCCCAGCTCTTGAATATGAGACAGGATGTGGTGGACCTGTGCTAGCAGGACTTCCTATAAGATTATCATCCCCTCATACATTATGCTTCATCCTGGTAAGAAGAAAGCATTAGCCCTTCCTGAAATTTTATAATCTGGTGTATTTGTAAATATTAGGCTACATGGTTTTCTGACCAAGTAAAAAAAAAAAAAAAAAAAAAAAAAAAAAAAAAACACGCGTAAGCCCACCTTATCTTAAAATAATCTTATAAATAATCATAATTTATGATTCTTTCAAAACAGATGTAATGAAGAAGTTTTGCTGTGCAATTTTTTTAGTATAAAACTGATAATACAAATACAAATAATTTGGAAATACAAAATCCTAATAATAATAAATCGGGAACGACAACAGACTCAGGCTTTATTTATTTTATGCAATACTGGCGTTAAAGTGACTGCTCAGGCGGCAGGCCTACTGTATACTGCCAGTGTCTACAATTTTTCAAAAGTAATATGCTTTATAAAGTTAATATAATATTTAAGCATATAACGATACTGTTAGCCAGTCATCATCAGAACTTTTTGCTTTTCGAAATACGTACACTTTTGCTGTATAACAATGTGGACATTAATGACTGACTCTGAAGTGCAGCTTTGAGCGGGAATCTCTCACATTGTTTCTATAGGGAAACGCTCGACAACCATTTCTTATCCATTGTGTTGCCCAATGGGTGAGAAATGGTTGTCGAGTTTGGAAAAGCAGTCTAATTTAGTGATTTAAATTTGATTAACGTGTTACTTACCTTAAAAATTGTCCTAGAAATGAGATTGTAGTTTGACTTTGAACGCTTCATGTAATTCCCACATCTGAGCACTAGGTGGAGTTGTAGTGCACATTTTTTTCTGTCATACCTTGTGTGAAATGACATCACCTTCATTATCTATGCCTGGAATCGTTGATTATTATTTAATTAAAGCAGAATCTGTAGCTATAACAAATCATAATTTACATTTTATAGTAATTATTTTAGTTTTTATAATAATAATTTGTTACATTTATATAGCGCTTTTCTGGGTAGCCTACTCAAAGTGCTTCACATATGGAAGGGGGGAATCTCCTCAACCACCACCAATGTGTAGCATCCACCTGGATGCAAATACATAGACACTCACAAATACATTGTTGTGTGTGTGTGTGTGTGTGTGTGTGTGTGTGTGTGTGCGTGTGCGTGTGCGTGTGTGTGTGTGTGTGTGTGTGTGTGTGTGTGTGTGTGTGTGTGTGTGTGTGTGTGTGTGTGTGTGTGTGTGTGTGTGCGTGCGTGCGTGTGTGTGTGTGTGTGTGTTGCCATTGGCCTGGTAAAGCCTAAATTATTGGGGCAAAATGTCCCCACAAAGATGGCAATATCCGAAATCCTTGTAGGGAAATTTTTTGTCCTCATGAGGAAAACAGCTTATAAATCATACTAAGTGGATTTTTGAAAATATAAAAATGCAGAAAGTTTTCAACGTGCTAGATATACTAACAAATACAAATACACTACTACACATAGGAGTAAACGTGTGTTTGTGCTACATTCACATTTACCTATCGATCTTACATATTTATAGCCTATTTACATAGGCTACATCTATCTGTCTGTCCATATCTACACAAACATACATGTTGTGTTTACATGTTTTATGGGGACTCTCCATAAACATAAGGATTTTTATACTGTACAACTATCCCCTTACACGAACCCTACCCCTAAACCTACCCGTCACAGAAAACTTTCTGCATTTTTACATTTTCAAAAAACATCACTTAGTATGATTCATAAGCTGTTTTCCCCACAGATTTTAGATATTGCCATCTTTGTCCCCATAGGGTTTAAAGCTAGTCTGCTTTATCATTGTCTTCTCTCAATATTAAAATTTGTATGTATTTGCTGGTTCCAGGATGGATAATCATGAACAGATTGTTTCATTTCAGGCTAGCTTGGCGAGCTGACAATAATTCTTTTGAAAAGTTTACGAAGATTTTTTTTTCTTGTATTGTTCTATGAAAACAGATAAAGTTATTTACTGATTGATTTAGTGAACTGAACGATTCCACATGCCTTTGTATTTTTATTTTATTTATTTTTTTGTACTTGGAGCAGTTAGCCATATTTATTAGTTTAATAAATACTTATTCAGCACATGGTCATAGCTATGAAAGATAAAACTATCTTTAATCAATTAAAAACATAAGCGCTGGCACAATGTGATGTGAAATTCCATACAGCAACAAAGACTTGCATAAAGAATCCAAAAACTTTCCTGTCCCTTTCCACCCTGTCCCATTCTCTTCCAAAGACCAAGACTACAAGTCTTAAAAAAAAGAACAAATCAAAGAAGTTAGATGCACATAAAAAAATCAGTATAACTTGTAAAGTGGCACGGTGTCCCATAGTTCACATTTCAATTCAAGAGCGTGAGCATTTTTTCAGACAGTCGGTCAAACTGTTCATTAAGTCTCTCCCGCAGCTGCAGGAAGAATCCGTTTGCAGCTCTGAAGTTCTCCTTCCTTCTCCACAGCACCTCACCTCACAGATCTAATTGCTGTAGCCAGGGGCTCTGTGACCAAATATGTTGTTTTGTGTTGTGCCCAGCCTTTAATTATCTCTCCTGAATGCAAAACTAAGCCTAATCTGGACTAATGAGAAGTCAAAAAGTGAGCTAAATAGAACTACGGGTGGGAAAAAATAACCCCTGTGGCGCTCCATAGAATACATCAGTTTGCCCCCACTGTGATTAAATGACAGGCCCCATTAAAGACCATTCTCAACAACTTTCACGCAATATCTCTTACATCTCTTGTTAGCCTGTTTGGATAGTGGAGCTCTTGTTATATTTATCATTTTCACAAAGTTTGAGTTGATAGTATAATTGCCCAAAAATGAGAGCAAGAACTGTTTTTGAACTTTAGAAAATGTTTAACCAGTTAGAGGAACCCTCCACAGTTAATAGAGTCTGGCACGCAGATGCTTATATTGAGATGTTTCAATTGGCTTTTTATTGTTTTAATTAAGATGGAGGTTTACCACAATGGGCTTCCCTTGGTTTGGGGAAAAAAACCTTGTCTGTCTAGGCTTTCCACTTTGAAAAAGCTGGGTTTCCTCTCCAGGCTGTAGTTTTGACTTTGTTCTTCAAACCTCCATTCCTATCAGCATCAGGAAGGCAAAAACAAAGAGTGCGAAAAAAAATTCCCATGAGATGCCAGCTCACCTAATTCGTCCATACGATAAACATCTGACCTTGCTGGAAGCACTTGATGAAAACAGACAAAGTTGAGAAACCCTGCTTTCACAAGTGCTTTCATATGGAATTAGAGCATCTCCAAACAAAGAGAACAAGGTCTCTCTCTCTCTCTCTCTCTCTCTTTCTCTCCCATTGACACTCCCATACAATGTGTCTTGTCAAACACCTGTCGCCAGCATTGTGAAGAACAAGTTGGCAGGCTGATCCAAAGACGGAGATGGGGGGAGGAGGGTGTGGTAGGCTGGAGGTGTCGAGAGAGTGGCAGGAGTTTGAGAAACTCTCTCTCCACACAGCTTTGCTCTCCGAGTGTGGATAGACATCCAGGAGACAGGCTGGCCAAATTAAAGCACTGTGCATCATGGATTTTTCCTTCTTATTTGTAATAGGTGTGGTTGTTTTCATATTGGAGCAACAAGGTAAATGGCTACCATCTTTCTTATATATAATTCTGTCTTTCTGTTCAAATCTTTAACAATGTGAATATTTTCCTATCTGAAAAATGTCAATTAAAAATGCTAATTCAGTTTACATGAGATTTTGTCTAGCACAGCAGTTAAAACATATTGCTGTCAAAACTTCATTGTCAGATTCTCTCTGGTTTGTTCTTTGCAATTCGGATGTATTTTCACATCAAATTTGATATTAAAAAGATTTGTTTAGCAACTTTCTTGTAATTTGAAAGGATGTTCTAATTTACTTCACTATATTAGATTAAATCCTAATCTAATCATGACAAACTATATATCGTTGGAAAGGTCTAAGACTCCTAAATAGATATTTTAGCACTGTTTTTTGTTACAAATTATGTAGGAACAGTAATAGATGCATAAATGACAAGAGTGCACCTCAAAAAATCTACATCATAACAGGAGTTCTGACCTTTGTCTCAAAAAGTCGACGCACACTTTTAATAATTGAAACTTTTGTTTTCATGCTAAAAGTTTAAGCATAATAAAACATATAATCTAATATAAAATAATACTATCCTCTAAAAAGTATAATATATATATATTATCCTCTAAACTATAATATTATCTTTTTATCGCCTTTTTTATTACATCACATACTTTAGCAGTTATCATAAATTAGGTATCATTTGAAAGCTTACAAACTCAGAATTCAACCGTTTTGAAATTGGACGTTGCGTTACCATAGAAACGGTACTCTAAATTCTTTTATCGGGCTCCTCCCCTTTTGGGTGTCATCATGTTTCATAATTTATGATCAAAACCTTTTTTAATCTTTCTAGTCTGAGTCTCAAGGTTCCATATTTTGTGACAGAAGTGATATTTGGACAGAAATGTATTCATTTGTAACGGCAGAATGCATACAATGGGCTCTATGCACGGCGGTATTTCCGGTGAAGGTCTAAGGATGCTGGATTACTTCCGCCGATCGTAGAGTCCAATGCTATACCGAGAATTTATATTGGTTTTTATACTCTATTGCTATAATAAAGAAACGTTAGTCACAAAAACAGACACCCCTCATTTTGTTTATGCTTCTTTGTTTATTATATTAAATAAACATAACTATATATAAAATTACATCTAAACGTATTAAAGTTTCGTTTCAAAGACGAGAGGACAGTAAATTTTGAAGACTCTGCCATAATCCCGTTTTCCTCGGTTTTCCTCCGCTTTAAATCTCCCCAACCGGAAACGCAAGAGCATCCTTGCATCAAACGCAGAAGTTATGCGTGCATATAGCCCATAAAATTTAATGGAATGTATGTCACCTGGTGGCTATTTATGGTATTACGCCTAACAAAATCTCATGGGAACTTCAATATTTGCAAAAATCAACTTCAAATTTGGAACACAACTTGGTTAGATATATGGCTTTGATTTGATAGTAATTTTATAGTAAAACATATTTTGTAAAATATATATTTTATATAAAAGAAAATATATTAAGTAGGCTACAGTATATTTGATTTACTGTAAATTTAAACTTCCATAACTTTTTCATACTTTCATTTTTTGAAGTGCTTTCACTTCAGCAATAATCTGCTGAGTGTTTTCTTTAAAACACGACAACACTCTATATTCCAAAGCATTCTTGAATTACAACCATTTAAGTTTGAATAGTGCATTTTAATGTCCATTCTCAAAAAGGGGGGTGACAGTTAAGGGGTTAAAGAAAAAAGGGTAAAGGGATAGTTCACCCAAAAATAAGAATTCTGTCATCATTTACTCACCTTCATGTCATTGCAAAACTGACTTTGGAACATTTTAAGAAATTATTTGGTTACCAACATTCTTTAAAATATCTACTTTTGTGTTTCCTATAGAAGACAAAGCAATGCAGATTTGGAACAACATGAGTAAATGATAGATTCTTTTTCTTTAACTCTCATTGTCTAATAGTCAGCTTTTCACAACCATGTAGATTTCGGTTATCAAATGTCTTTGCTTTTATAACACCAGTCACAATATGCAGTTGTAAAAGTGTAAAAGATTGAACGGATGAATTAGGGTTAAATGTGGCGTAAAATGCTTCGTAATCCGTCTGGTTTGGGTGTAAACTATGCATGTGTAGGCCATCTCCTACCACTTCTATGGACCACACATAACTTCCCTCATGGTGGAGCAAAAGCATGAGTTTGCCTCAGAATGGTCTAGCTGGAGGAAATAAAGCTTTTGCACTGTGGGCTTCACTTTAATAGCATTTCATTTAAAAATGAAATCTTCATCTCCATAAAGCTTTTCAGCAGATGGAAGCATGAAGTGCTCCAAAATCTCCTGATAGCTAGCTGCATTGACCCTGCCCTTGATAAAACACAGTGCACCAACACTAGCAGCTGACATGGCACCCCAGACCATCACTGACTGTGGGTACTTGACACTGGACTTCAGGCATTTTGGCATTTCCTTCTCCCCAGTCTTCCTCCAGACTCTGGCACCTTGATTTCCGAATGACATGCAAAACTGAGCAAAAGTCCAGTGCTGCTTCTCTGTAGCCCAGGTCAGGTGCTTCTGCCGCTGTTTCTGGTTCAAAACTGGCTTGACCTGGGGAATGCAGCACCTGTAGCCCATTTCCTGCACACGCCTGTGCACGGTGGCTCTGGATGTTTCTACTCCAGACTCAGTCCACTGCTTCCGCAGGTCCCCCAAGGTCTGGAATCGGTCCTTCTCCACAATCTTCCTCAGGGTCCGGTCACCTCTTCTTGTTGTGCAGCGTTTTTTGTCACACTTTTTGCTTCCCACAGACTTCCCACTGAGGTGCCTTGATACAGCACTCTGGGAACAGCCTATTTGTTCAGAAATTTCTTTCTGTCTTACCCTCTTGCTTGAGGGTGTCAATGATGGCCTTCTGGACAGCAGTCAGGTCGGCAGTCTTACCCATGATTGCGGTTTTGAGTAATGAAACAGGCTTGGAGTTTTTAAAAGCCTCAGGAATCTTTTGCAGGTGTTTAGAGTTAATTAGTTGATTCAGATGATTAGGTTAATAGCTTGTTTAGAGACCCTTTTCATGATATGCTAATTTTTTGAGACAGGAATTTTGGGTTTTCATGAGCTGTATGCCAAAATCATCAGTATTAAAACAAAATTAAAAGACCTGAAATGTTTCAGTTGGTGTGCAATGAATCTAAAATATATGAAAGTTTAATTTTTATCATTACATTATGGAAAATAATGAACTTTATCACAATATGCTAATTTTTCGAGAAGGACCTGTATATATTATCCTCTGAAATATAATATTATCTTTTTTCATCGCCTTTTTTTATTACATCACATATTTTAGTAGTTATCATAAATTAGGTATCATTTGAAAGCTTACAAACTCAGAATTCATCCTGTGAAAACCGTTTTGAAATTGAGAGTTGCGTTACCATAGAAACGGTACTCTAAATTATTTTATCAGGTCCCTCCCCTTTTGGGCATCATTATATTTCATAATTTATGATCAAAACCTTTTCTAATCCTGACAAAACACATATTGTCAGAAAGGTCTAAGTCTCAAGGTTCCAAATTTTGTGACAGAATTGACATTTGGACAGAAATTTATTAATTTGTTAAGGCAGAATGTATACAGCTAAATTCAATGGAATGTATGTCACCCGGTGGCTATTGTTGGTACTACGCCTAAACAAAATCTCATGGGAACTTCAATTTGTGTGATATCAACTTCAAATTTGGAACACAACTTGGTTAGATATATGGCTTTGATTTTATAGTAATTTTAGAATAAAAAATATTTTGTAAAATGTATATTTTTTATAAAATAAAAAATATATAGTACAGTATATTTGATTTAGTGTCAATTTAAACTTCCATAACTTTTTCATACTTTCATTTTTTGCAATAATCTGCTCAGTGTTTCCTTTAAAACAAGACCAAACTTAGGTCTATGTTCCAAATAGACAAATGAATATTATTATGGTTAATTGCTGAAACTTCAGAGCCACGTTCCTCCGAAGTTTTGAATTTCAAGGCCGGTCTCACACAGGGTGGAAATAATCACAGCTTTTCATTTTAATAACAGCAGTCAAACTATTTTATCACTATCTTATTGCTAACAACAGAAAAGCTTTTGCTGCTTCTTCATAGGTGAGATGGTCTGGTTTAACTGGTGGTTATGGATTTATGTAATCCTCCCTCGCCTGTCCTTTACAATTCTACACTGATCCAACTTGGCAGTCATGTCTCTCTTCAGGGCACGGGTCATAAAATAATTTTTTTCTTGGGAAAACAAAATGTGCTGAGGAGTACAGAGCTTGCCTTAGGTTTCACAGTCTCATACCAGTGTCGAGTTAGAAAAGTCTAGTCTGGTAAAATATTACTGGGATAAAGAAAACTTTTCCTGATTGTCTTTCTCACGATTAAGGGTATGATGGTATAAAGTCAGTTGTATGTGAATTATGTAAGGCATTTTTAGCAGACGTTCCAATGGATTTGGAACAAATTCCAAGCTCTAAATCCAAGCTACTTGTTGTGATTCAGTATCCTTACCTGTTATATGAAAACTAGCCCAAATGCTTCACTGGGAAACCTCAACTGACGCCTTGAGGACATGGATGACAACTGATTTCCAGCATCAGAACAAAAGTCAGACCATTGTTGTGTATTCCACATCAAACTTATATAGTTAGACCCCCACAGCTTTGTGATAGTGATGGATTACTGTGATCACTCCCAGATCGCTTTCCACAAGACCGGGGCATGCAATTTCATCCGTTTCTATAAGGTCTTAGAGCCTTAGGCTCTGTTCACCTGATTGAGCACCTTAGATGTCATTCGGGTTACTGAGGTCCAACTAAAACACCTCTTCCATGTTCCAAAAGTCACCACTGCTGAGCCTTCAAGAGAGCGAGACCTCCTGCAGCCTAGTTCCTACTTCATCTATCTTACCTCATTAAAGAAATTATCCTCTTATAGGGGTGTAACAATATATCATGTCATAATATATCGCAATAGAAAAATGAAACAATATGTATTGTGGATAGTTAACCAAAATAAAAATTACTATGCGAGAAGAAATTCACGTTTTCAGAGTAGTGTCAGTGCTACATTAAACTACTATATAATGTATAATAATGCAATGGGGAAATATTGTTATGTTTGTTATACATATTAATATTGTTTTTGTCTTATGTTACCAGTAAAAAGTGGCCTACATTATTTTAAATATATCTAATCAGTGACAGAGTGAAAGCATATTCGTCTAAAATAATTCTGTATTTTCAGCTTCAGAATCATGAATATTTTTATTCTGGTGTCACTTTTGTCCTGTGCATTGGGTTATCAGCAAGTCCAAGCCTATTCATACACCCACAATGTAATACCAAATTTAGCATTTTAATCAACAGTACATTTTGTGTTAACCTTTTATCATATGTCTTGAAGTATCGCAATAATATCGTATCGTGAGTTCAGTATCGTGATGTGTATCGAACCGTGACATGAGGATATTGTTGCACCCCTATCCTCTTACTTTCCTGGCAATCAAATGTACCATGGTATTCTTTAAAAGCAGCTACTTTGATGTTTCATGTATACATTTCTTGTTCTTTTGTATTTACTTTGAGATTTGTTTTTCTGTTAAAGAGTTACCATGTCGCCGATGAACAAGAGATCTGTTTTTGATTCAACTTTTAAAACCCCAACCATCGGAAGCTGTAGTGGTGGTTTGCTTTGTACCATCTACATGCGCTGCTGGAATCCTAGAGGCATTAAATGTGGTTGGCCACAGATTCGTATTTGCTGTCTTCTTTAAACATGGTCCACATGGCTTTTCATTTCCCACAACCTTAATGAAGTTCATGCAACCTAAGCCATTTTGTTTGTAGGTTTCCTTTTTATTGTGTAACATGATTTTATTATTTTTTACTGAGGTTGCGTGGAAATTCACTTCTGAACTGATAACCTGTTAGATCATAGTTATGAAAACTGGATCTGAGAATCCTCTGGATTAAAGGCCTAAAACAAAGAGGATCTCAGAGACACAACATTGCTGAAATGTTTAGACAGCAGCAAGAGCTTAGACATGTTATGTCTTACATCGCCGAGCGAAGATGCCGCACTGACTAATATTTTGACACATTTTTAGGTTTTGTCTCAAGTGTTACACACATCAAAGCAAAAAACAAAACAAAACATAGGCTTGGGAAAAAGGAAAGTATTTGCTAGAAATCCATGAATTAGCTGTGATTCAGCATTCTGAAGGCTGTATTTGATAGTCTTACCTCGTTTTTTTTTTTACTGCATCTATTTATTAAAAAATACAGTAAAAAATATATATATTTTGATGTGAATATATTTTAAAATGTATTGATTTGTGTGATGTCTTGCAGTGTTCTTCAGAAATCATTATAATATGCTGATTTGTTGCTCAAGAAACATTTCTAATCATTATCAATATTAAAAACAGTTGTGCTGGTTAATATTTTTGTGGAAACCGTATAGAAAGAACCAAAGCTATCTCACTACCAATTCGTCCGAATTTGACGAGTGATTAAAAGTGACGTCATGCGTAGGTTTAGGGGGAGGGTGGGGTTGGGGGGGGGGGGGCAGGGTTAGGTCATTCGTACGAATTCATACGAATTGGGCAACTCGTCAAATATGTACGATTTAGCAAAAATCGTACTAATTGTTACGAATTAGCCATCTTTTAATCACTCGTCAAATTCGGACGAATTGGTCGTGAGATCGGGTTGAAAGAACAGAATTTATTTGAAATAGAGTCTTTTGTAACATGTCTTTCCTGATTTTGATCGTTTCTTTTGTCACTGTACCTGTTGTTTAAACTTTGTATTTGTTCAGTCCCAGGGTCACATGCCAACATTAGTCCATCTGTGAATGTTCCTCCAGAAATTCACCATCGCGAGAGACGCTGCTCCTGTGAAAACCTGAAGGACAAAGAATGCGTGTACTTTTGCCACATAGGAATCGTCTGGGTCGATACACCCAGGTACATCATCCAAATATTGATCTGTCTGTGTCTGTTCCTATAGAGATCTCTTTGAGCAATACAAAAAAAAGAGAGAGAGAAGTGGAGGTTGAAATCTGTTGGGGACTGAAGCTGGTAACCTGTACACTGAAAGCACGTGTCTGGTTGTATTTAAGTGTGTGGTCTCATTAATGTGGCCCACGCATGGAGACCCGAGGACAGGCAGACTGCCTTTGGTGAAAAACAACCAAGAAACTAAAGATTGAGGGTCTGGCTCTCGGGAAGTGAAATTAGTGTGAAGTCTTATATCTTGAAAATTCAAAGCACAAGTCTTTTTATTCAGTTCATGAATTTGAAAATAACTCTTTGTGCAAAAAAAACCCTAAACAGGATAAATAGGATAGATAACAGGAAAATAATGCATTTTGGCTGTTGTTCAGCTGAAGTCAGTTCTGGCTTGATTCAGTTCCATTGTAAAGATCATCGATTATTAAATTAGGTAATTTCATCTATATAGCATTTCTGTTTATTAGTACTTATAAAGCACATTTATTGATCATTCTGCGTGACCATATTCTACATCCCTTAATCTACCCAATACCTAAACTTAAAGGGATAGTTCACCCAAAAATGAAAATTGTGTCATCATTTACTCACCATCATGTCGTTCCAAAGCTGTATGAGTTTCTTTCTTCTGTTGAACACAAAAGCAGATATTTTGAAGAATGTTGGTAACCAGATGGGGTCCATCAACTATCTTACCAATATTCTTCAAAATATCGTATACAGGTTTGGAACAACATGTTGAGTAAAGGATGACAACATTTTCATTTTTGGGTGAACTATCCCTTTAACAACTACCTTACTAACTATCAATAAGCAGTGATTAGGAGTTTATTAAGGCAAAAGTCATAGTTAATTGTGAGTTAATAGTGAGAATTGGACCCTAATCTAAAGTGTGAACGAGTTTTTTTTCCCAATAATTTATTACATTTGATTTTTTTTAAAAATCACATGTTAAATATTGATATGTTTGTAATGCACTTAAAAATATCAGCTGTTCTCTTTCAGTCAGGTCATTCCCTATGGTGTAGGTTCACTCCAAATGCGTCTAAGACGAGATATGGAACGATGCCACTGCGCACATAGAAGAGACACGAAATGTGTGCGGTTTTGCTCTTACTTGGATCTCCAGCAAAAGTGAGTGTCATTATTAAAATATTGCACATTGCGGCAGTTGCATTGCATTTTACAGATGCCTGACTTGGTATATTTTTCAGAGATGAAAATTCCTCAGTCAAAAGTTACCATCCCAGAAACTACAAAGAACGATACAAGTCTAGATTCTCCCAGAGACAGAGGAGGCATAATCCAACACAAACCTGAGAGGGATGGGGAAAAAAACTACACAGTAACTTCGTGTATATTATTGCTATTTGGGCAGCAAGCCTGGCTGTATATCTGAATATGTGTGCTGTGAATGGTTTACAAAGTATAGTATTATACTTATTGGGCTTGTCATGAAATGCTCAATAGTGAATAGTGACAGTATGAAGCAAATATGAGTGATATATTATCTAACTGTCAGTATTTTGCGAAATACTGTAAAACCGGATTGCTTCTAATTGACGTGTAATATACTATATCATCTGATGTTTCCAATTTTGTTTCCATATAGTGAATACATTTTGAATATTTATTAAGGGCAATAGTGGTTTGTGGGCACTAGGTTTGACATTAAACATATTAGTTTTTCTTGGGTAAAGATCACTCTGTCATCCAAGGTTCCGAGTTTTAATATCATGTCTAGCTTTCTGTAAATTAAATTGTGGATGTTTGTTAATGAATAATAAAAAATGCCTGTGTATGTACAGAACTAGGACAAGCAGTTCACATTTATCAGTGGATTTACAGTAGTTTGATTTTTCAGACAGTTGAAACTTGCAATCAATTTGTAATCGAATGAATGAGCTGAATATTTATTGTAATGTGAAAAGGCAAAGAAATAAAAACCTAACACCCAGTCATTGGTGAAATGCACATAGACCATCTTTCTTGATGGAATACGGCTGCGGTATCTAATTTTGGTTTTTGTCACTACTTTGTGGATTTTAAACTTGCAATGACATGAAAATTGCTTATAAACGTACCTACAATGAAAGTGAGGTTAAGTGCACAGAAAAAGTGGACGACAGTTAAGCAGAAAATAGCTTCAGAAAGGTATACTGTAGTGTGAGAGAAACTGATAAAACTGTCACCATGGCCGGAGATCAAACAGGGAGAGGGTAATGGCAAAGCTAAATGTTTCCACAGTGCTAGAGGCTAGCAATTTTCTGAATAACTGCACTCGCTCTTTCTTTTCCTGTTGTTGTTTTCCATGAAGTGGTGTAAAGCCTTTCTGGTGTAAACCGATATTGTTAGTTGCTTTGGTCGCCGAGTGATTTACCATGTAAGTTAAGGTGAATAGCATAGTAGTGCCTGCATCTTTATATAAGGATGGCTACTTATCTCCATTCATTTTTGGCATCATCAGGAATGCTGGTTTACCTCACAGGAAGGCTTTCACAAGAAACTTCTGGAAGGAATTTGTGGTGCTCTCATTTACTACCGGGACAAAGGAACAAACACACTCTATTCCTGTCCCCCTGTTACAGTCAGACGCATTGAGCCAGCCACTAACCACCCTGTTAGGTTCTGGGAAACACCCTGACAAAACCCAACAAATGATTAAAAGTGAGCTAAAAACAGATGATTAAGATTATCAAGATATGATGGTATCACATAAGCCTAAACGTCTCAATTCATCATGATCTTTTTAATTAGGCAACCTCTTTAATATTGATTAGTTGGGAATTTAAATGTAATGTGAATATTTAATATCAAACAACCAGTATATAGTTTTACATAACTTGCTCTATATCCATATTATTTACTGTGCTATATCCCAGCTAACAACAATATGTTCTAAAAAGGTTTTTGTTCCCATTAAGTTATGTAAACTGTATTTTGGAATGTTCTGTGAACGTTCGAAAGTTCCAGTTCTTTAAATGTTTTGTGCAAAGGTTTCTGTTAGCAAAAACATTAAAGGAATGTTCCATTTGAAAGTTCTCTGGACATTTTGAAACAACGTCCAACTAAAACATTTCGGGGGAAAAAAACATTCTATGAACGATTGTATAAAAAAAATGTTTTGTTGTGTTATGAGAACGGTATTAAAACAATGAACAAACGTGCTATTACAGTTACTTTTCACCATAAGCAGACAATTATGTCACTGTTCAAGCAAATAAGACAGACAAGATCTGGTTTAAGTGCATTTAATATGCAAGATGTCACATTTTCATAAAGCATCCATAGCCACTATACTAATGATGATCTACACTGATGAACAGAGCAAACTGAACAGCCCTTGGTAAATGTTTCCTGCTGCTGACATTTTCTTCACTGAAGCATAGAAATCTCTTAAAAGCGTTTAAAATAAATACCAAGTCGAAACAACAGTGCCATTAAACTACAGCAATAGGAAGATCCGAACATGTTAGATTTGGTGTATAGCTGTTGTTTTCCATTCCGTTGTCAAATAGCAGAAGACTGATCATGGTGTTCTGCCCTTCTATTAGAGTAGTTTTATGTAACTGTATGCACTGAAACTATTGTTCACACTGTAAAAAACAACATTTTCTATGACATGTTAATCAGTAGTAGATCATGTAAAGAGAGATCATTTAAATAATGACAAAATAAAGGTATTAAAGGTTCACTAATTTACAGCGAAAATGTACTTTATCTGCATAAACAAAGGCAAAATTCACAAGCATTAAAATTCAAGCTCCAACCATGCGTGTTCTTTCAGTCCCGAACAGAGGAACTAGCTACTCCTCATGTTTTTTTTAAGTCTTTGGTCGTGAAATGGTCCCATTTTTATGCCGCAGCAAGCATTTATGGATTTATATACAAAATACTTGAAAAAAAAAAAAAGTAATGTGCAAAAAAAAAAAAGTATGCAAAACAGAAATTAGAAAAAGCACAAACAGTAAAATATATTATGATTATTTACAGATCACATAGTCAGTATAAGCTGAATATCACAGTATGTAAAATCCACACTTTCATAGCTTGCCCTCTCTACAGGGTTATGTGTTTCTCTACTCCAGTTGGGGAGGGTTAACTCAATAAGCACTGTAGCGTATAAACATGATCCTGCCTTTCCACACAAGGTAAGTCTGGGACACAGGAGGGCTCCATCTCAGCCTCCTCCCCCTAGAATTTAGTGCTGTTGCTAAAGCTGTCTGACATGATAATGTTTTTGTAGAAGTTGTCCGAGCGTACGGAGCAGTAGCCCTTTACCTTGTCCAAGACCTGGTGCACGGGGAGGATGGACGAGGAAGCCTCTCCGTCGGAAGGGCTGCATTTGGGACTGCTCTGATTGGAGAAACTTTTACCTGCAAATATGCCACAATGGTTGACTGAAGGACTGTGTGAATATACTTCTGAAAGTAGTGAGCAATCCAGTATTGATGCCAAAGTATCCATACACTCGCATACAATATGAAGATTACAACTGGCACCCAATGCAAACTATTTTCGTACATGTTCGCTGCATCAAAAGAAAGCCGAACTGAGTGTTGTCAATACTTTGACAGATGGATCATATTAGTTTCCATTCCAATTCATTCAGCTAATGGTGAGTTATTAATTGTCCATGCCATTCTGTTGATGTTCCATGCCTTTGTGCATTCTTGGGCAAAAACATTCCAATGCACACATGCACCTTCAGTCCCCTTCAATAACACTTCTGCCAGAACTATATTGCTTAAGCTTTTCTTTGCAATGATTCCTTAGCCTCTGTCCTATTATGAGGGGATTCGGGGCTACAGAAAGGTATTGACCTACAGAACTAAATGCAGAATAACCAAAATTGGAGCACAGTTTTGGCATTTCAACCAGAACATATTATGCTCATGTACTATGCTAGAAAAGTCATTATTTGATGATGATGAGGTCATTTAGATAGCTAATTCTAATATACAATATAATAGCAAAGATTATTTCACAATTCACATAGCGAAATTTAACAAATGAACAAAACAACAGCAACAACAAAAAAATCAGTCAAATAAATCTGTATTTAAATTAACAGTCACAATTTGTGTTGTAATTGTTCTTTGCAACTAGAACTAGTCCTTCCTCCGCCTGATGAGATTTTTACTTCGCTATAAGGTGCAAAAATAAAACAGCAAATTGGGAAAATTAGACATTTTAAAGGTACACTATGTAACTTTTTTGTTCAAAATGAATACAATTTAAATAATGAGTCAATATATCATCTATCCTTCTAAAACGTGTTTTTGTCTTACCCTGATATGGTAAGCGTATTATATGTGTTTATATTTTAGACCTTTTGAGATGGTTTTCACAGGAAACTGGATATATGTGTCACTCGCCTGTGCTTGTCTTGTCAAATCCGTAATTAGAGAAAAGTTGCTCTGTCTACTGTGGGAATGGCATAGGTTAGTTGTCACAACGAGCAAGAGAGGTTGACATGGAACAGCTAAACCTCCAACCTCCGGAAAATCACCCGTTTTAAACAAGCGCGGAACAGAGGAGAGTCAAAAAGAGAACGCGACAGAGCTTGTAATAAAACAAGAATCAACATTGGCTTGGCTTTTCAGAGAACTGAGAGATTTGAAATGTTGTAAAAGCGACGCGGAGATGGCGTTTTTATTACTCAACAGGCGAGTACGGTATTTTCTTAAACAGATAAATTGCCATATGTAGCTCTCTCACAGAGTTTATTGTATTACATTATCTATTGTGAAGGGTCATTTCATTATGGTTGTTGTAGCGTTGTGCTGGAATTTATTTTCAAGGTAGTTCTGTGTCTATTAATGGGAATAGCTACAGTAACGTCTTCAGCTAGTCAACTGTCACCTTGCCATCCAAACTGGTTGGATCTCTTAAGCCTAGTAGTGAATGTTTTATGAGCAGTAGGATAACCATATTCATCCGCACAGTCACGCAGAGCCAAAGCACAACCGAAACAGTTTTGTTTTTAACCGCTAGATGGCCAAAAGTTACATGGTGTACCTTTAATTAAATAGGCAGTTAAATAGTCAATTATAAATATTGTTAAGGAAAAATCTATACAGTGTACATTACAATAACTTAAAATACATAATTACACAGAGTGAGCTTGTGAAGAATGTATTCTTAGATAAATGATGCAATTTCAGTGTCATAACAGAATTCTTTTCATCTTCGCATGTATGCAAATATAGCAAGTCTATACCTCCTAAATCCTAAATGTCTCAATATTTTACAATGACAAACTCTACTGTGCATAACAGTACAATTACTTGTGCCAAAGTAATGGACAGTACTAAGTA